GGGGGGGGGGGGGTCGCCCGGCGACGGCCGCGTCGCAAGTGCCGTTGATTGCGGCGCGGAAGGTGGACACCTGTGGGATGGATTGGGCGAGGCTCAGCCGAGGCTCAGCCGAGACACAGCGAAGCTCAGGCGAAGGGCAGGCGAAGGGCAGGCGAAGGGCAGCCGAGGGGCAGCCGAGGGGCAGCCGAGGGGCAGCCGAGATTGCGGGAGGCGGACACCTCGGGCTCGAGGCCGCGCGAGCGCATGAGGCTGAACATCTCAGCCACGCGCTTGAGGTCGCCGGCGCGGCCGAGCGCGCGGATGGCGGTGTTGTAGTTGACGACGTTTGGCTCCACGCCGAGCTTTGGCATGGACTGGACCAGACCGACCATCTCGGTGTGCTTTGCGGCGCGGTCGCACGCCTGCAGCAAGTCTAGGAAAGGTCTAGGAAAGGTCTAGGAAAGGTCTAGGAGAGGTGTAGGAAAGGTCTAGGAAAGGTCGCACGCCTGCAGCAGCACGTTGTACGTCGCGACGTCGGGCGCCACCTCGAGCGAGTACATGCGCTCGATGAGCGAGAGCGCGCGCGGCAGCTGGTTGTTTGCCGCGCAGACGGAGAGGGCGGTGGTGAAGGTTGCCACGTCCGGGTGGAGCCCCATGCCCTGCATCTCGCGCAGCAGCGACATGATCTTGCCGTCCTCGCCGCCGCGCGAACACGCGTTGATGGCGAGGCCGTAGTGCACCGCCTCCGCCTGAGGTAACGAGTGGCCACACTCCTGAGTGACGGGCTGGCTGATGGCGAGGCCGTGGTGCACCGCCTCCGCCTTGAGCTCGAGCCGCTCCATGCGCCGCAGCAGCTGCACCGCCGTCCGCCAGTCGCCCGCGCCTACCAGGAGGGCTCCGAGAAAGCTCCGAGAAAGCTCCGGAGAGGTGCTGGCCGCCGCCCGCCGCCCCGCCGCGCCGGAGCAGGCGCGGAGCAGCGCGGCGTACGAGTGGGTGGTCGGCTCGACGCCGCCCTCAACCTCCATCTCGCGCAAGATGGAGAGAGCCTGTGTGGTGGCCGCGAAAGGTCTAGGAACAGTCTAGGAAAGGTCTAGGAAAGGCCTGTGTGGTGGCCGCGAGGCGCGCAGTGGTGATGGCGACTCGTGACTCTCGTGGCTGACAATGCCGGGCCGCAGGACCTGCGGCAGCCGCGAGGCGCGCGTGCACGCGATGAGCGCGGAGTTGTAGCAGAAGGCGTTCGGCTGCAGCCCGTCGGCGCGCATCTTGTCGAGCAGCTGCAGCACGTTGCCGACCCGCCCGTTGCGCGCGCAAGCAGACATAGCGTTGCCGTAGCTCAGCACGTCGGCGGGCACGCCCGCGGCGCGCGACTCGTCGAGCAGATCGAGGGCGCGCCTGGGAGGCGGTGCAGCAGAGGCGGTGCAGCAGAGGCGGTGCAGCAGAGGCGGTGCAGCGGAGGAGGTGCAGCGGAGGCGGTGCAGCCCGATGGGTGCAATGTGTGTAGCCCGAGGTGTGTTGCCGATGTAGAGGTGTGTAGAGGGTGCGCAGCCGAGGTGTGCGGCCGAGGTGCGGGGAGAGGTAGCCGAGGAGGAGTCTCGACAGGCCGCAATCTCCCCACGTCTCCCCACATCTCCCCACATCTCCCGACATCTCCCGACATCTCCCCACTCCCGCGCCTCCACTCGCCGAGCAGGTCGCAGGCGCGGAGGGCGTGCTTGTACGCCGTCTCGTCGAGCGGGAGGCGGAGCCGGACCGCCTGCGTGTCGAGGCGAGCCTCTCGGCAGGGGGTGGGGGTGGTGTGGTGTGTGTGTGTGTGTGTGTGTGTGTGTGTGTGTGTGGGTGGGGGGGGGGGGGGAGCAAGCGGGCGGGGGGCCGGCGCCTGCTCGGCGCCTCTCCTCCGCGCGCCGTCCACCCGCTTCGGCCCGATGCCGCCAGAGAGCGCGCGCATCAGCGTGTTGTACGTGCGCATCGGAGGGCGCAGCGGGGCGGACGGGTTGGCGACCTCAGCGCGCAACACCTCCCACACGGCCTCCACCTGTTCACGCGCCACCAGGCCCCGTAAAGGCAGTGTCGGAGCCGGGGCGTGGTCCCCTCTCCGACACGCGGCCCGCCATCTCTTGCTGGTCCGCCTATCCCAGACGCCCCGAGGTGACCCGAGGGTACCCCGAGGTGACCCCGAGAGGACCCGAGAGTCGCCTTTGAGCACGCGCGGAGGGCGCACTCGAGCGCGGCGCTCGTCGGGCGAAGGGAAGCGGCCTGCATTCTCCCGAGAAGGGCGAGCGCCTCCTGCCACCGCGCCTTTCGGTCGCACGCGCGCAGCACGCACTCGAAGTGGTGCGGCGTGAGAGGCACGCCCGCAGACTCGAGGTCGTTGAGCATCGCGGCGCCGACTTCCCACACGCCTCGTGCGGCGGCCGCCTGCGGGAAGGGTCCAGGACGGGTCTAGGAAAGGTCGCCGACTTCCCACACGCCTCGTGCGGCGGCCTTGACGGTGGCCCAGCCGATGGTTAGGGGTAGGGTTAGGGTCAGGGTCAGGGCTAGGGCTAGGGTCAGGGCTACGCGGCCGCCTTGACGGTGGCCCAGCCGATGGTTAGGGGTAGGGTCAGGGTCAGGGTCAGGGCTAGGGTCAGGGCTACGCGGCCGCCTTGACGGTGGCCCAGCCGATGGTTAGGGGCAGGGTTAGGGTCAGGGTCAGGGTCAGGGCTAGGGCTAGGGTCAGGGCTACGCGGCCGCCTTGACGGTGGCCCAGCCGATGGTTAGGGGTAGGGTTAGGGTCAGGGTCAGGGCTAGGGCTAGGGTCAGGGCTACGCGGCCGCCTTGACGGTGGCCCAGCCGATGGTTAGGGGTAGGGTTAGGGTCAGGGTCAGGGCTAGGGTCAGGGCTACGCGGCCGCCTTGACGGTGGCCCAGCCGATGGCCGCGTCCGGCGGGAGACCCGCCTGGTCCCACTTGTGAGCGAGGCGGAGCACCTAGTGAGGAGGAGGGTCCGAGAAGGGTCCGAGAGGGTCCGAGAAGGGTCCGAGAAGGGTCCGAGGAGGGTCCGAGAAGGGTCCGAGGAGGGTCCGAGAAGGGTCCGAGGAGGGTCCGAGGAGGGTCCGAGAAGGGTCCGAGGAGGGTCCGAGGAGGGTCCGAGGAGGGTCCGAGGAGGGTCCGAGAAGGGTCCGAGGAGGGTCCGAGGAGGGTCCGAGAGGGTCCGAGAAGGGTCCGAGGAGGGTCCGAGAAGGGTCCGAGAAGGGTCCGAGAAGGGTCCGAGGAGGGTCCGAGGAGGGTCCGAGGAGGGTCCGAGAGGGGTCCGAGGAGGGTCCGAGAAGGGTCCGAGAGGGGTCCGAGGAGGGTCCGAGAAGGGTCCGAGAGGGTCCGAGAAGGGTCCGAGGAGGGTCCGAGAGGGTCCGAGAAGGGTCCGAGGAGGGTCGGAGGAGGGTCGGAGGAGGGGCAGCGGGGCAGCGGGGAGGGGGGGGAGGCGGGGAGGGGGGGGGAGGCGGGGAGGCGGGGAGGCAGGGGGGGGGGAGGCAGGGGGGGGGGAGGGGGGGAGGCGGGGAGGAGGTAGGCATTCGCCTTCTGGTGCTCTCCTCCGAGCGCCGCTTGCGTCACCGCGTCGTGGAGCGCGCCTAGTGCCCAGGCTGGCTCAGTAGACCTAGTGGGTGTGTCACTTTCCACCGTACGGGTGTTGAATTGGCTAATGGGTGTTTTGGGGATGCTCGTGCTCGCAAGCGCGCCATCCTCCGCCGAGAGGCCAGCCGGTGCCCCGTCGTACCAGGTCGAGTCGAGGTCGGCGCTGCCCCGCCGGTAGCCGCCAGTGCCAGTGTACCTGCCCTCGCCGCCGCCCCGGCCGCCGCCGCCGCCGCCGCCGCCGCGCCCCCCCCGCCCGCCGCCCGCCGCCTCGCGCTCCGCCGACGCAAATAGGTCGTCAACCCAAGACGCCCCTCCTCCCCCTCCCCCTCCTCCTCCTCCCCCCCCTCCTCCTCCGCTGTCGGGCAGCGAGTCGAGCCCCTCGGCCCACTTCATCATGGCGGGGTCGCCGCCGCCGCCGCCTCCCTCCGGCGCGTCGAGCCCAACCCTCCCCATCCCCTCCAGCTCGCCCAGCACTGCGTCGAGATCGTCCGGCCCGTCCCACCCCGCGCCCGCGTCGAAGAAGAGGTCCGCCTCGGCGTCGGCGTCGAGCGCAGGCGGCGGCACGTCGAGCAGGTCGCCGAGGTCGAGCTCGTCCGCCTCCTCGAACTCGAAGCCGCCCTCCCCGCCACCTGCCGTAGCAGGCGCCGCCTCAGCCTCGAGCAGCCGCGTCCGCAGCTCGTCGGCTTTGCCGCTCGCCGGCAGCCCCGCCTCCTGCGCGGCACAGGGCCGGTGAAGGTGCTGCTGTACATGCATCGAGAGAGAGAGAGATAGAGACGGCCACGCTGGTCTACTCGAGCGCACCTTGCAGGCCTGCTGGAGCTCTCGGTACGACATATCGCCCGCGGCCACGTCGAGCGTCACCGCGGCACGCGCGAGACCGATGGCCGGCGCGCGAGTCGGCGACCAGCCGATGGAGAGGAACGAGAGCATGTCGACGGAGGCCTCGCTCACAGCGAGCTTCCCCGTTCGAAAGAAAAACGCGGGCCGCCGGGCCAAAACAGTTGGAGCTCGCCGCGCGGCCGCGGCAGCCTTTGTGCGAGTTCTATCGATTCATCTTATTCTCAATCCTCCCACCACAGCACCACCCCAGCACTGACCACTGCCCCCGCCCGCCCTCGCCCGCTCGCCCTCTCCCGCCCGCCCTCGCCCGCCCGCCCTCGCCCGCCCGCCCCCGCCCCCGCACTTGCACTTGCACTGCACTCACACTCGCGCTCCGTCCCTGCTGCCCTCATCTCAATCTCGGCTCATCTAAAGAGGCTTCGGCCACCGGGCTTCGGCCAACGAGGCTTCGGCCAACGAGAGGCTTCGGCCAACGATATTATTACTGCTCCGCTCAGCGCCGCGAGTCACAGACAGACAGACAGACAGAAAGCTCGGCCAAAGCCAGCGCAGCGCAGCCGCCCGAAAATGCATTTCGATCCCCATCGATCGCGCTGGCGCTGGCGCTCGCACCGCCTCAGATCACCTCCGTCCGTCCGGGACAGAGCTTCGCATTGCACGCGTGCGTGACAGTCGCGCTCCCAATACGATATACGTGCATCACTTTTGTGACAGGTCTCAGACTTTGAGCGGCCATATCTCGGTAACTATTGATGGTCCACCTGAAAACTCTTCGGATTTGGAACGGGGGCCTCGACTGGTGACACCTTCATGCGATTTTCGTTCGCCCATGCGCCCCCCCCCCCCCCCCCTGCCCAGCGAGAGTTGTCCGGGACTCGCTCGAGTCCGGGACGCCTCCTTCTTATACCCTTTGTCTGGGACTCGAGTCCGGGACGAAAACGCTCGTAATGGCAAGCCCAACGCAACGACGCGTGCGGTAGCTCCTCCGGCATGTGGACGATGAGGTTGCCGACGTCGTGCCCCGCGCTCGTGATGGCTTCTCGGATGGTGAACCGTTCGAGCCCTTGTTGCACGAGCCCGCGTAGCTTGCGCTGTCCGCCTGCCCAGCTGACCGTTCCGTCTCTCCTCTGTGGCCCGTATGCGATCAGGGACGCCTCCCGTAGTTTGTAGTTAGTTTAGGTGCCCCATCTCCGCCTTGCCCTCGGTGTACGTCAGCGAGCGGCTCACAAACGGGTCGGCGCACGGCACGCGGCGCTCGATGTGGAAAGGGATGGCCTGCGCGTCTGGACCCTCCGCGCGAAATCGCTAGTGGTGCTTTGTGGGAGTATATTGTACTTTTGAGTAGTATTGGGTACGGTTCCCGAGAGACCGCGCGCGCGGGCCGCGCGAGCGCGCGCGCGTCAGATGAAGCGGCGGCGCCGGAGGTCGCATAGATCTAAGAGAAAAATAAAGTTGTTTGTGTTGCGTGAAAAAACGGCGGAGTTTCACGCCAGCTTGCCTGGAGGGACGCTTTGGAGGATCGCCAGCTTCTCTCTCGTTCGCCAAAATGGCGACGGCGTCCACGACAGCCGTCGCCCAGCAGGCCGTGGACACGACTCTCGTCTCCTTGATCGACGACCACCTGACGCACACGTTTTCATTCCTCAAGCTCGAAGACCTCATCCACGCGAGCTCGGCGTGCAAGCAGTTTGAGGCGCTGATCAACAACGAGCGACGCCTCTGGTCTCACATCGTCTTCCCCAAGGCCGCCTCCAAGGTGATCACAGACTGCCAGCTGGCGGCCCTACTCACACGCGTGCACGCCAAAGAGTGCACGACGCTGCTCCGCCTCCACTTCAGCGACATCAGCGGCCGCGGCCTTCTCCCTCTGTGCTCGGGTGCGCTCATCACCCTCGATCTGCGCCAGACACACGGGCCTTGCGCGCACTACCCAAATGAGCGCACATACTGGGACGGCGAGGCGCTCGTGACGCTGCTGACGAGCCTCGAGGAAGGCGACACCGCAGGCGGCCACGGCATTCATGTTTTCCTACCCACAGTCATGGAGCCAGACAGCGTGGGCCACCCGTGGGTGCCGCTCGTGTCCGACGAGGCGACGGAACGGCGCATCAGGGGCACAATGCTGTCTCTGAAGGCGATGGGACAGCAGGCGTGCTGCATGTGCGACGGCAGCGACGAGGACTCCGCGTCAGACAGCGGCGCAGCCGTCGAGGAATGCTCGGTCTGCCTCAAGACCCACTGCACAAGCTGCGCCGGCTTCTACTTCTGTACGGCGTGCTCGTTCACCGCCTGCGAGGCGTGCGCTACCGACCTGCCCAAGAAATACTCCTGTGACAACGGAGATCAGTGCCGCGGGATGTGGCGCTGCGATGTCTGCGAAAACATCCCGGGGACTTGCTTCGGCTGCGGAGGCAAGTTTTGTGACAGCTGCGGCCGACAGGACGACGAGACGCCTGAGGCCGAGTTCTACTGCAAGCGCTGCGAGGCCGAGTACTGGGAAAACAACGACTGACATGCGCACGGCTCGCGATCCGAGGTAGTGGACTCGTCGAGAGACGTCTCTCTCGGAGTCTGGCTCCGGCTTCACACCTTCACTTGAGCAACTCTCCATATGCGTCTCCATGGCCGGAACGGAACCGTCAGCGTTTCGCCCGGCTGGTGCGTGGTGGTCCCGCGCGGTTTTATTTTGGATCACAGAACACTTGCGGAGAGCTGTGGTGGAGAGTTGTGGGGGAACGCCTCCTTTCCAGAGATTTTCAGTGTATGTAGCTCTTATACGTACATTCCCGGAGGAGGACTGCTGTAGTGTGCTGACGGGGTTTGCGATTTTCCTTGTATGCTCAAGGTACAACGCCCCAGGGCCCTGCAACACGTAGGTACCCCCTATTTTCATCTTTGTTCGCTACGCTGCGCGGCCTGGGGATAGGTAGGTAGCCGTTAGCAGACCCCCTATCTGGCAAGGAGCCGGAACCCGAGGCGTGAATCCTTTAGGATTCTCGCCCGCTCTGCTGAGGGGAGGGGACGGTCGACTGGGCCGGTCGCTCGACCCGATTCTACTCTACTCTCAGTCTACCATTCATGGACAATAGTGTCTGTGACGGCGGTCACATTCACAGCGAGGTCAGTTCACAGCCGAGCAATCGATCCTGACACGCTCCACTTTCAGGGCTCGCCGCGGCTCGAGCAAGGTCAATGGCGATCGGCATCTTGCCAGCTGTGGCTTGCCCGTCTACCGCTACCGCGCCTTCAGATACAGTCGCATGATACAGTCGCAGAGAGGCTTGGCTTCGCTCAGACGTCATTCGTGCCTTGCTGGCGCGTGCGGTGCCATGCTTTCCTGCGGTTCTCTACGTTTATCGTTTTTGTCGGTGCGATTGCCGTGGTGGCGGTGGGTGCAGCCGAGCCGAGTGTCGTCGTTGACGGCACCGAGCTCGTCTTTCGACTGCCTCGCTTCCTCTACGGGCGCGGGGACCCGTGAGTCAGCGCACAGTCAAAGTAACTGGTGTGCGTTGAATGTCTGTTGTCGTAGCCTGCAGGTGGCGGGCTGCTGCCGACCGACCCTAGGCTCCCGTTCAGCTTTCTTCCGCGTGTCGCATGGCCGTGGATGGAGGTATGGGCGAGGGTCGACCTCACTCGCCGCCGTTCATTACGGCAGACGCGGTCGGCCCCGTCTCGACAACCCTCAAGGGCGGGGGACGGGCCACGACATGCCGCCCTCCGAGTAGTTATGGAGGTATGTGGCGCCGTCAACACGCTCCCGAGTAAGTCGGTGTGACTGGGAGCGCCCCGCACGACTACCCGTCCTAAATGGGGATCGTGGTGTTCGTGTGGGGCAACAGGCGAGTGCGGCGCGCTCCACGGTCAATCTCTGACCCTTCGGCCCGCGTGGCGTAGGGCCTGAGAGACGGCCGCCGAGGATGTCGGGCGGGTTCGGTTCGGTCGAATGGACCTGTCACTGATGACACCGGACTCGACTGGGGCGTTGCCGGAGGCGATGGCGGGAGGGCACTCGATGGGCCCGCCATCGACCACTGATGGGAGATTGGCGCGTGGGCCATGGTTGTTGGGCGCGTGGGCCGAGGTGGTTGGCGCGTGGGCCAAGGGTGGACGAGGATGGCCAAGGCTGGCCGAGATAGGCCGAGGTTGGCCGAGATCGGCCGAGGTCGGCCGAGGTTGGCCGAGATTGGCCGAGATTGGCCGAGATTGGCCGAGATTGGCCGAGGTGGGCCGAGATCGGCCGAGGCTGTCCAGAGATCCGCCGAGAGCGTCCCTCACTCGCCTCTTTCTGTGTAGGGACTTTGAGTAGATGCTTGACTAGTCTCACGCTCGGATTCAGATTCAGAGAGATCCACTGGCTGCTACCAGACCAGCTCTGGGCGCACGCCAGATGGGCAGGTTGATCGATCCACTCGTGGTCGATCTTTCAATTGCCTTGCGCGACGCATGATTTCGGCCGATGTCGTCGATGGGGCAACAATGGTCGATTGACGACACGGTCGGAGTAATGCTCTTCGACGTCGAAGCAGCAGACCGTATGGGCAGGATCATCAACTCGCTCAGTTAAAATTTGGGTCACGACGAAGCAGCAATCAGGTCGGCAGCTGCTATCGTTTAAGTCGACAGTGGCAACGGTGTTTGACACTGTTGATGAGTGCAACTGTGGCGTGCTTGCCACCCAAGCGAGTGTAGGCCCGACTCGCGTCGGGTGCTATTTCCTCATCGTCATCGCTACGGCGGGGGCGGGGGGGTTTTACCGGAGCACCGGACTACTCGCTGGGATAGTTGCGAGATCGGTCGATAATCACGATCGGTCTCTCGGGCGCATGGTCGTGCGACGTCAGCGACTCAACCGCCAGTTGCCATCCCTTACCTTGGAGGTGATTCGAGGAGGTCTATGCGTGGGGTTCAGCTGAGCTTAGGCCGTTCCGGGCATCGACCTTCCATCATACTACCTCAAAGGTCGAGCGTGGGGAGGCTCAGCAGCCCACCACAGGGAGGTTTCGTCAGTCTCGGCGTCGCATCTGCCGCGCCGAGATTCGACGGACCGAAGGGGTAGAGGCTAGCGCTCTCGGTCGAGAGAAGCGCATTACTCAAGACAATGATTACTACATCATGCACGACCTCGAGCGTGCAACGCCGCACAGTGCTCAGGGTTCGAGCAGGTGCAGGCGAGTGGAGGGGCCCCTGGCAGAGGAGGCGTGAATCCTTTAGGATTCTCGCCCGCTCTGCTGAGGGGAGGGGACGGTCGACTGGGCCGGTCGCTCGACCCGATTCTACTCTACTCTCAGTCTACCATTCATGGACAATAGTGTCTGTGACGGCGGTCACATTCACAGCGAGGTCAGTTCACAGCCGAGCAATCGATCCTGACACGCTCCACTTTCAGGGCTCGCCGCGGCTCGAGCAAGGTCAATGGCGATCGGCATCTTGCCAGCTGTGGCTTGCCCGTCTACCGCTACCGCGCCTTCAGATACAGTCGCCCCTCCCGCCCACGCCGGCGACTGTCTGAGGTGCAGTTGACATCTGGATGACTGCGCATAATGGGGTTGACCCGCCGCGCAGCAACCCGATGTTCACGATTTAGGTTTCCGTCGAGTGACGAGTCTCGTCCGAGACGTCTAGTCTCATCCCGCCTCGTGGCATACCTGTTCTAGTGTGTCATGGGTGTCCCAGTGGTGTTCTCGTGTGTGGGGGAGGCTCAGCAGCCCACCACAGGGAGGTTTCGTCAGTCTCGGCGTCGCATCTGCCGCGCCGAGATTCGACGGACCGAAGGGGTAGAGGCTAGCGCTCTCGGTCGAGAGAAGCGCATTACTCAAGACAATGATTACTACATCATGCACGACCTCGAGCGTGCAACGCCGCACAGTGCTCAGGGTTCGAGCAGGTGCAGGCGAGTGGAGGGGCCCCTGGCAGAGTGCACGTGGACTGTGTCCAATGCCAGCGGCAAGCGGTCCCGTCGCGAAGGTCCGGCGTAAGGCCGACGCGCCCATCGCTGGCAAACACCGCACTGCGGCCACTAAGGGCAAACGCCGCAACGCCGAGTCTTCCACTGACGGCAAGCGCTGCAAGGCTGATGCGGGCTGCCGGGAACTCGCGGCTGGCGCTGCCGCCTCGACTGGCGCTGCCGCCTCGACTGGCGCTGCCGCCTCGACTGGCGCTGCCGCCTCGACTGGCGCTGCCGCCTCGTCTGGCGCTGCCGCCTCGTCTGCCGCTGCCTCCGCCTCGCCTGCCGCTGCCTCCGCCAGCTTTTCGTCCCTGCCCCTGCTGGCGACACTGCGGCTCGCCCTTTCCGAGTCGTTTCCGTTTGAGCAGCTGACTCCGGTGCAGCAGGCCACCATTCCGGCCGCCCTCGCCGGCCGCGACGTCATCGCGCGCGCGAGGACCGGGTCTGGTAAGACCCTCGCCTTTTTGCTGCCCGCGATCCAGCGGGTCGCGGCGGATCCAGACCAGCCTGGTGTGCGGGCTGTCCTGGTCTCCCCCACGCGCGAGCTAGCCACCCAGACCGGCGCCGTGTGCGAGGCGCTGCTCTCCCACATGCCCCGCGTGTCGTGCCGCTGCGCCGTGGGCGGGACGAGCGTGCACGGCGACGTCGCCGCCTTGCGCGGCTCACTCTGCCCCGGCATACTCGTCGGCACGCCTGGCCGGCTCAACGACCTGCTGTCGGGCGGGCACGGCGCGGCGTCCGCCTTCGGCCGCGTCGCCTGCCTCGTCCTCGACGAGGCGGACCAGCTCCTCGCCCTCGGCTTCCGCCGGCCGGTCGAGGCGGTCGTTGCCTCGCTCCGGAGGGCTGCCCACCCGGCGGCGCCTCCGTGGCAGACACTCCTCTTCTCAGCCACCCTGCGCGGAGACGTGCGCTCGCTCGCCGCCGCCGCGCGTCGCGGGTGCGCGCCGCCGACGGCGGCGGAGGACGACGACTTGCTCGTCGCCGACGCCATCGGAGCGGAAGCGCCGACCAACGCGGCGGTCGAGCAGGCCGTGACGGTCTCCCCGCCGGCGGCCCTCGCGGCGGAGCTGGTGCGGACCCTGCTGGCGCTGCGCTCGGACCCGGCCGCAAAGGTGATTGTCTACGCCGGCGCCGCGCGCCTCGTCTCCTTCCTCGCCGCGCTCTGCCGCCGGATGGGGCTCGGCGGCTCCGCGCCGCTCGAGCTGCACGCGCGGCTGCCTCACGCGGAGCGCGCGTCGGCGGACCGCCTTTCCTCGCGGCGGGAGGGGGGGGGGGGAGAGCAGCGTCTCTTCACACCGGGGTGTGCGCGTGAGCAGGTGGACGCCGCCTTCCGCGCGAGCGAGGGCGGGCGGCTCTTCCTAGAAGCACTTGGAGCGCTTGGAGTGCAGTGAAGCAGACTCCGTCTTCTTGTACCCCAACCCACACTCGAGAGGACACGGACAGCTGTATTCGACTGTGTTCAGCCGTGTTCAGTCGTCTTCGCCTCCCTCGTAGTCACCCGGTGCTCTGGATTCACTGCACAGCACCGTCTCCCCGCCCTGAGGCTGAGAGGAGAGAGGAGAGAAGGGGGAGAGGAGGGTGTGCTGATCTCGGCCGAGCTCGCGGTGATGGCGTATTCACCTCGCAGGCTCCTCTTCTCCTCGGACGTGTCTGCGCGAGGGCTCGACTACCTAGAAGCGGGCAACGTGTTCATGTATTCCAACTAGCGCCCGAGAGGACACGTATTCGGCCGTATTCGACCGTGTTCCGCTGTATTCACTGTCTTCCTCCCCGTTGTCTTCACGCGGTGCTCTGAATACGCTGCACAATGCCGTCTCCCCGCCCTCATGCCGGCGTATGCACCACCACGTAGGCTCGACTATTCACACCACGCAGGCTCGACTATTCACACCACGTAGGCTCGACTACCCCGACGTGACTGCCGTCGTCCAGCTCGGCGCCCCGCCCGACCGAGCGACGTACATCCACCGCTTGGGCCGCACCGGACGCGCCGGCGCTGCGGGAGTCGGCCATCTGCTGCTGGCCGAGAGCGAGGCGTCCTTCCTGACTTGCTTGGGCGGGCTGCCGCTGACGCGAGCCCCGCCGCTGCCGCCCGCCGCCGCCGCGCTCCTCGAGCCGCGGCTGCGCGCGGCGCGCGGCGCGCTCCCCGCGAGCCTCGCCCAGGAGGCGTACGCCTCGCTGCTGGGGGTCTGCTCGGAGCCCGGCTGCTTGCGCCGGCTGCGCTGGAGCAAGGAGGACGCCGTGCGCCACACGAACGCCTTCGCCGCCGGCGTGCTCGGCCTCGCCACGCCGCCGCCGCTCGACGCCGCGGCGCTCCAGCGGATGGGCCTCGCCGGCGTGCGCGGCGTCGCGGCGAAGACAACGTCGCTCTCGTGCTTCTCGGTGGCGGGTAACGCGCCGCGCCACAAGGGGCGCTGCGACCTCGGCTGACGGGCGTCGCTCTGGGACCTGGGGTAAGTTGGCCGTAGCCCCGGCAGGCTGGCCCCACCTAGCGCAATGCGCCGCGACCGATATGTGAGGGGGCGGCGCCCTCGGTACGATGCCGCCGTCGCCACGCAAGATCCTAGTGCGATGTGCAGTGCGATTTGCATTTGGAAATCACGTGTCTTCTTTGCAAAAATCGCCGTGTTTTACTGCGAGTGTCTCCGCTCAAGTGCGTCCGCTCTCCGCTGCGGGACCTGGGGGTCCACATAGACATAGACCACACCACACAGATCACAACCGTCGCCTCATGCGTCACCCCGCGCCCGGCCGCGCTCCGGGGGGCCGCTCCCCCGCGTCGATAGTAAATTGACTCCGCCACGACATATAGGTCGCAGCACCTCCCCCCAAATTTCTATGTGAATCCTCCCGCTCTCGCGCGCTACCCAACCACGGCAACGCGCGGCCACGATAACGCATACCTTAAGGTAAGGGTATTGCGTGCGCGTACCCGTAGCCGTACACAACTCTACTGTATCACATGAAAACCTCTCCGGAGTGTCTCGTCGAGAACATCTCTCTCGAGAGATTCGATCTTACGCCCGCGCGCGCCGCGCTGAGGCAGCGCTCGTGCGCACAAGAAATTTGGAGTCACAGCGACCGTGGCCTCTCAGCAGCGCTCTCTATGTAGAGCGCTCCTGGGCCGCATCCGCCGCCATCCTGGCTGCAACCGCCCTTGCCATCGACGCGACCGCAGCGGCACCCCTCGCCTCTGCAGCAGCACGCCTCGCGTCTGCAGCGGCCCTCGCCTCATCCAGCGCCGCCTCGGCCGCCGCCAGCGCCGCCTCGGCAGCCGCTAGCGCCGCCACGGCCACCACCTCCTCCGCCTTGTCCGCCTCTGCCTCCTCCTCCGCCTCGTCCGCCTCCGCGTCCAAGCGCACCGCCTCGGCCACCGCTGCCGACGCCGCTGCCTGGCTCTCCGCCGTGATGCCGAGCCGGATCCTCTCCTCGTGACACTTCTCGAGAAGCCTCATCATTTTCTCCTCCTCGGCCTTCTTTGCGGCCTCGGCTGCCTCCGACGGCGACTCGGACTCCTGCGACAGCCCAGCCGCGCCCGCCCCGCCGCCCTTCTTCTTCTTCTTGCCCTTCTTGCCCTTGGCGCGTTTCTCCGCCTCGACCTCCGCCAGTAGCTCCTCGGCGTGCCGCGCCGCCTCCTTCTCCTCCGCCGCCCTCTGCGCCGCCCTCTCCGCCGCCCCCGCAGCCCACGCCGCCTCATTCGCCGCCTTCTCGGCCGCCGCCTTGGCCGCCGCATGCTCCTCGAGGGCGCGCACGCACTCGGCGAGGCCCTGTTGCTTGGCGTACTGCAGCGCGGTTGTACCCTTCTCAGTGCACAGCGTCATGTCAGCGCCCGCCCGCAGCAGCTGACGCACGACGGCGGGGTAGCCGAAGGCGGCGGCGAGAATCAGTGCTGTGAAGCCGTCGTTGGCCTGCAGGTTGATCTGCGCGCCGTGCCGGACCAGCGTGTCGACAACCCGCTCGCGGCCTTTCGCGGCGGCCTGCATCAGCGCAGTGTTGCCGTTGCTGTACTTCTGGTCGATCTCCGCGCCGTGCCGCAACGCCAGCTCGACCAGCTTCTCGCGGCCGTTCCCGGCGGCGAGAACCAGCGCGGTGCCACCATCGCTCTTCTGCAACGAGATATCTGCACCGCGCCGCAGAAGCGCCTCGGCTAGCTCCTCGTGGCCTTTGGCCATTGCGACCATCAGCAGCGTCATGCCGCTCGCACACGAGCCGTCATTAAAGGTGTACTCGAACGTCGACCCGCCCGCCGCCGTCGAGCCACGCCAGCACCGGCGTCTCGTCGCCTCGCTCAGCCGCTAGCACGACCTCCTTTGGCACTGCCTCGCTGCCCGGCGTGGCCCCCGCGCCCTCGCCGCTCGAAGCAGAGGCCGCAGCACTGGCGCCCGCCGCCGCCTCGCCTGCGGGTGCGCCGCCCGCCCCTGCGCCGCCCGCCTCGGCCGACAGCGCCTTGATCCGAGCTGCCGTCACCTCCCCGAGATACGTCCTGACGGCCTCGTAGCACTCGGTGTGGCCCTTCTCCTTGGCAATCTGCAGCGCCGTCCTGCCGCCGCTTGAGCGCAGCGTCATGTCAGCGCCCGCCCGCAGCACGCGAAGCACGACGGCGGGATGGTTGTGGATAGCGGCCCCCATCAGCGCGGTGCCGCCGAGACTGCTCTGCAGGTTGATCGCCGCACCGTGCCGGATCAGAGTGTCGACAATCCGCTCGTAGCCTTGGTAGGCGGCCTCCATCAGCGCAGTGACGCCAAGCTTGTTTTGCAGATTGACCTCCGCGCCGTGCCGCAATGCCAGCTCGACCAGCTTCTTGTGGCCGTTCACGGCGGCGAGACCCAGCGCATAGTAGCTGCCGGCGCTAGTCAGCAATGAGACATCCGCACCGCGCCGCAGAAGCGCCTCGGCCAGCTCCGCGTGGCCATTGGACATTGCGACCATCAGCAGCGTCATGCCGCTCGAGCACGAGCCGCCATCAAAGGTGTACTCGAACGTCTCGTCGACCCGCCCGCCGTCGTCGAGCCACGCCAGCACCGCTCCCGATTGGCCATCCTTGGCGGCCTTCCGAATGCTTGCAGGGACGTCGCCGCCGCCGCGCGTCGACGGAGGAGGCTCCGCGGACGTAGCCGCCGGATTTTCTTTTTAGCGCTGGGAAACTGGCAGGACCGGATTTTGGGGCGGATGACGAGACGCGTCGCCTCGCTTTGGGGTGGCTGATGAGGGGCGCCGTCCCGATTTGGTCCACACTCTGTCACTTACCCCTTACAAGAAAACGAGAACACCTTATCAAAGACTCAACGACAAACGCGTGAAACGGCTGGCAAGCGTGCGCGCGTTGCCGCGTTGCCCACACATTGCACATAGATAGGGCAAGCAAGCGAGTCCAGCCGCCTTTGGGGCAGCATCCAAGCCAGCGCGGCGGCAGTGGGCAGAGCCAACAACAGTCGTGGCGGCCCTCCGCTTTAACGCCAGTGGGAACGACCATCTTTTGATTTGTACGTACCCCCTCTCCCCCTACTGAACCCCCTTTGTAACTCTATTTGGGCCGCGTCGTGGAATTGACATGCGCTTCGAGTATGCAACGAGAAGATCGCGCACATACTGCTTGACGGCGCGTTTCGAAAGATGCTGCTTGACAAATTGTCGTGCGTTCGCTGCTATGTTTTTGGCGATAAGCGGCGACTGGCGCAAGCACTCGGCGGTAGGGAAAACATATCGGGAAAGAGAGCCAAGTGCATTCTCGGCAGGGACAAAATCGTGGTGTGGGCGAAGCAGTGGGTAGAAGAACTCGTACCAGTCCGTGTTTGTGACCACAGGAACTGAGCCACAGGCGAAGAGGTTCTTGAATCGGTTGGAGTAGGAAGGCCAGGTACCACCCCCCGGAGAAAGCAGGTACTGGTAGTGACATGCGTCGCTGCGGCCTTGCCGCTCTGGCCACGTGGGGAGATCGCATTTTTCAACTCCCCCTCTGAATCCGATGGCTTCGGTAAGAAGCCCGGTCATCATGGAGCCATTGGCGGTCGCAGCGCCTAAGCACCAGGCGGAGTTTCGATATGTATTTCTGGTGCCCACGAAATGCATTTTGGGTATCCGCTGCGAGAAGTCCTTCTCAGCACTCAGCAAGAAGTGCTCATTGCGTTCGATAAGGTCCCAGAATTCTGGGAAAGTGTGGTCTGGCAGCAACAGGATGCGCGAGTCCTCCGATCTGCGAGAAGCCATGAAGATTGGAGCGCGGCGAAGCTCCGACCCAGATTGCACAGGAGCCCACTCTTGTTCCGGAGCTAAATCTGAGAACAAGATGATGAGGTCAGCATCGGGCAGCGGCGAGTCCCGGTGCACCTCCCGAAGAATCTCAAGCACCTGCGCTCTTCTTCCGATGTCACTGCCAGAATTCAGAACGCGCATGCCTCCGGCCCGGATCGTCACCCTCGCTGACGTCTTCTGTTTGGCAACGCTCCAGGCAGCGTCGACCATTTGACTGGTTATATTCGCGTAAGGTGCCATCTGCCAGCGGATGACTTCTGCGTACGAACGCATGCCCACGGGGAATCTCTCTGTCACATCGTGCCTCGTTTTGAAGCGCCCAGCCTTGCCCACCGGTGTCCAGTCGATTCCGTCCCATTCCGGTCGCTCTGTGGGATTGCCGCGCTGGTTTGAGAGAACGCCCTCCCAAATGGAGCGATTCGCACGTTGCAGGCAGAGTTGAAGTTTGTCACTCGCGCCGTCGACGCATCTGGGGGCACCAGCTGGCGCGCAAGCGTCTGCTGGCGCGGCGGCGGACGCACGTAGTCCGAACTTTGGAAATCGGCGGGCGCTGGTGTTCGTGCCGCCGCCGCCGTCGCCGACTGGAGCTTTTGCGGGTGCCGCCGTCGTGGCCGCGGCTGCCACGAGAAGGAGAGCGACGGCGGACATACACGTACACGTGTGCGTGCGGCGCATCGGTTCCTCCTTGCCGCTGCCCCCGCGAGACACACGCATCTCGAAAAAAAGCGGCGGAGGCGGCGCTTGACGACCTTGCCTTCTTGCGGACCCACCACGGCGAGGTGCTGACAGTCGTCGACGGCAGACTGGACCGCTTCGCCGTCCGCCTCGGCTTCACGCAAGGCGGCCTCTTCTCCATGCTGAGCTTCTGCATCGCCGTCTGCTTCCTCGTCCTTAAGCCGCTCAAGGAGAGGTACCCGGAGGTTGTACCGAAGTGCATCGCCGACGACGCCCACGCGCCGACCGTCGTCCGCGAGGTCGCCGACATCGAACGGGCGGCGCAGTGGTGCACCGCCTACGTCAAGCTCTCGGAGCGAGAACTCAACCTCTCCGCGAACGCGCGCAAGTTCAAGATCCTGCAGTCGCGGAAGTGGCAGGACACGGAGCTTGACGTGGCACGCTTCATCAAGCTCTTCCCGTCGCAGATGCACGAGGGAAAGCGCAAGCGGCCGACGGTGTTGCGCGACGCGCTCCGAGTCAACGGCGTCGGCGTGGGCTTCGAAGCGGCAGCGCGCACCGACATCGCCATGGACAAGGTGCGGGCGCACGAGATCAAGCTGCGGGTGCTCGAGAAGCTCACGCCGGCGCTCGGGCGGCAGACGGCCGAGCTCCTCGGACGCTTCACCCTCAAGGCGTCGACCGCGCTCAACCACGTCGCCCGTGGCTGCGAGCCCTCGGTCACACGTGAGCCGCTCGAGTACGCGGGCGAGACGCAAGCGCAGCTCTTCCGCACGCTCACCGCCACCAGCCCCTCCGAGATCCGCGACGTGCAGCACGACGCCAACCCCGCCGGCCCGACGGAGCGGCGGTGCGAGGAGGCGATGCACCTCTCGCAGCGGAATGGCGGCTTCGGCTGGGCGCACCCACGACTCATCGCGCCGGCCGCTTCGACCGGGCGCGTGCTGGCTCGCGGCGGCACGGACGGGCAGAAGGAAGAGGCCGCGGCGGCGCTGGGGAACCTCGCTCTCAACGCCGACAACCAGGTGGCGATCGCGAGGGCGGGCGGCATCGCGCCGCTGGTGGCGCTGGCTCGCGCCGGCCCGGACGGGCAAAAGGAGGAGGCCGCGAGGGCGCTGCAGAACCTCGCCTACAACGCCGACAACCAGGTGGCGATCGCGAGGGCGGGCGGCATCCCGGCGCTGGTGGCGCTGGCTCGCGACGGCACCGAGAAGCAGAAGAGGTGGGCCGCGGGGGCGCTGTGTTACCTCGCTTGGAGCATCGCCGACAACAGGGTGGCGATCGCGAGGGCGGGCGGCATCGCGCCGCTGGTGGCACTGGCTCGCGGCGGCACGGACGGGCAGAAGGAACAGGCCGCGGGGGCGCTGGCGAACCTCGCTTGCAACGCCGACAACCAGGTGGTGATCGCGACGGCGGGCGGCATCGCGCCGCTGGTGGCGCTGGCTCGCGGTGGCACGGACGGGCAGAAGGAGCAGGCTGCGCGCGCGCTGGGGAACCTCGCTTGCAACGCCGACAACCAGGTGGTGATCGCGACGGCGGGCGGCATCGCGCCGCTGGTGGCGCTGGCTCGCGGTGGCACGGACGGGCAGAAGGAGCTGGCTGCGAGGGCGCTGAGAATTCTCCTACAATAACCTCAATAACCTCGCGGCGGCTATGAAGGACCTGGGGTACGGCATGACTCGTTCTTCGGCGGGTGGACGGTCTTGAGAGAGAGAGAGAGAGAGAGAGAGAGAGAGAGAGAGAGAGAGGGAGAGAGAGAGAGAGAGAGAGAGAGAGAGAGAGAGAGAGAGAGAGAGCTGCCTCCGTCGCACAGGGCCCCAAATGATGTGTGGGAATAGATTTGTTTCACTCAGGGCACAGGGGGGTCACAACTACCGAGTCCCACGTTCAAGACCAGGACGGCGGCAGTGCTGGTGCTATCACGGGCATGATCAGTGGAAAGTGGAGCGGGTGGTACGGGATAGTAGAGCAGGCGCTTTGTGGGTGGCGGGTATGTACAGTGGGCGGCGGCGTTGGGTGGCCGGCCGAATCGTTAGCGGAGCTCCTCCCTCAAGCTCGATCACGCATGACGCACGTTGAGTGACAACGGTGACGAGCTTCTGAAGCAGGCCAGGTTGCCGGAGCACCTCCAACTCGTCCTCTGAATCAGACAAATCATTTTGTCGGCGGACTTGTAGTTCAAGACAATGTCGGCGCCATGCGACCACCGCCTCAAAAGTCACTTTGGCGGGGTCGACGGCGCCATGCGACCACACCGCTTTAGTGAAGATTTCTTGATCCCCTATCAACCCTCCCCACGCCGAGGTCGTGCCCGAGGTCCACGCGCAAGTCGGCGAGCGCGCTCATCAGCGCGACCAGAAAGGCAAAGGTCACGCAGAATGCTTGCGCTCCGAGAAGCAGCCGGCGCGGCGCTGCTCCTGCAGCTCGCTCGGCTCCTCATCGTCGACTCGGCCCGCCGCGCCTCTCTTCCTCCCGTCACCGCAGTTGGTCTGCTATGCTACTCTTTTGCGGCTGCGGCGGCCGCGCTCGGCGCCCTTCCTCCCGCGAGCGCTGCGACGCTGGAGCCATCAGCCTTGGCAGCGTCGCCCGCACGGCTGCTCGCCTCGCTGCTCCTCTACCGCTCGCTCGCGGGCCTCGGCTGCCACCTCTGGCTCTGGCTCGCCGCGTGCGAGCGGCTCGAGCCCGCTCTCGGCTCGCGCCGGCTGCTGGTTGTTTTGCTGCTGTGCACTGGCGGCGCCGCCGCGCTGGCCGCCGCGACCGTGCCGCCCGTGCAGCGCCGCTACGCCTCCTCCCTCGCGCCCGCCACGCTCTTCGCCCTGCTCCAGCTCTGGGCGCAGTCGTCGCCAGAGTCGACCGTCACGCTGGTCAGTGTGCGGCTGCAGACTCGCAGGCTGCCGTGGGCTCTCCTCGCGGCGGTGGCGATCCTGGACGGGGTGACGGCCGCCCTATCGCCGCTCCTCGGCATCGGCGCCGCCGCCATCTACCACGCCCTCGTCGGCCTTCCGCACAACGCAGTGCTGCCTCCTCCGCCGCCGCCGACTCCGTCGCTGCGCCGGCAGGTCGCCGGCGAGGGAGACACGACCACGGAGCACGCTTCCGGCGCCGCCGCCGCCGCCGGCGGCGGCGGCGGCGGCGCGAATGCGGCCGGCGTCGCGCCGGACGAGGCCGAGGGTGGCGGTGGGACCCGCTCCGGGCGGGTCGCCCAGGCGGCGCTCATTGCAGTGGGGGTGGCGCTGCTGCTCGGCGAGGGCGGCGGCGGCAGCGGCGCCGCCGCGCGGCTGCAGGCGCAGTGCGGCGTGCTGAGCTCGCTGGCGGATTTGACCGAGCCGCTCACGGCGCAGCTGGTCGCCAACTTCACCGCCCTCCGCCTCGACGCCGCCGCGGAGCCGGAGGGCGGGGAGCGGGCGTTCGAGTGGCTCGCCGCGCGCTGGAGGCTGCTCCCTCACGGCAGGGCGGCGGCGGCATACGCCGCGCTCGCGGAGGGGGGCGAGGAGGCGGCGGAGCGGAGGCAGGCGCTCTACGAGCAGCAGCTCGCCCTCCCCCACCCCCACAGTACCCGAACCCACCCTCCCCTACCCCACGGTACCCGAACCCAAGGCGCTCTACGTCGAGCAGCTCGACCGCGAGGTCTCCGCCCTCGTCGCGGAAGTCCTCCCCACGCTCGACACCAACTCGGCGCAGGAGGACGACGAGGCGCCGCCCCGCCCGCCCCGCCCGCCCCCCCGCCCGCCGCCGTGCCCGCCGCCGCGCCCGCCGCCGCGCATGCCGCCGCCCGCCGCCGCCGCCCGCCCGCCCGTTGCCGCCCGCTCGCCTTTGCCGCCCGCCGCCCGCTCGCCGCCGCCGCTGGCTCTCGTGCGCGCGGCGCGGACACGTCGTGGACGTGGCTCCCTCAGGTGCTCTCGCTGCTGCTGCGCCAGCTCTCGTACCCTCCCGAGCTGCCGAGCGAGGTGCGCGCGGCGTGGATGCGCGGCGTGGGCGCGTGGCGCGCGACGCGAGCCTCCCTCGAAGCGAAGATGGAGGCGTTGCGCAAGCTGCTCGAC